TTGCGGCGTGTCACCCTGGGTCACTACGACAACCTAATGCAGGAGCTTATGCGTGAATCAAGGGGTGANAATGCCATCGACGGCAAACACATCAAGATCAAGAAGCAAGGGAAGTCAGGCAGCGCCTACTTCAGCTACAAGGGATTCTTTTCAATAGTCCTGATGGGGCTTGTTGACGCAGACTATCGCTTCCTGTGGGTGCATGTGGGTGCGGAAGGAGCTGCCTCTGATGCAGGGATTTTCAACCGTTCTTCCCTTGAGCCCGACCTCCGTGAAGGGAGACTTGGTTTCCCTCCCCCAGAGCCCCTCCCCAACGACGACCACGACGTGCCATACTTTTTCGTCGGCGATGATGCGTTCCCCATGCGAACATACCTTGTGAAGCCCTTCTCTCAAAGGAACCTCACGCACGACGAACGGATCTACGATTACAGGTGTTCCCGTGCCCGGAGGGTGGTTGAGAATGCTTTCGGCATCCTTGCCAACCGTTTCCGGTGTCTCCTCACCACCCCCATGACCACCACCGAGACATCCACCAAGATCACCAAGGCATGTTTGACACTTCACAACCTAATGCGGATCCGCTTTCCAAACCTGCAGAATGCCGACCTTGACGTGGAGCTAGCGGACGGTGTGATTGTCCCAGGGGCATGGAGGGATGCAGGCTACCTCGCTACGTGCCCCCAGGGAGAACCGGGCCGGCAAAGAGCTCCGAATACACCTCAAACACTATTATAACAGTGATGCCGGCAGCGTGCCATGGCAGGAGGCAGCTCTAAACTGGTGAAATGTTATAATTGGACCATCAAGTGAACTTTAGAGCCATGACATGTGACCTTATAAGAACCTGTGAAGTAAATGGACCATGTGATTCTACTTGTAAAATAAAGTAATGAAAAGTTGCACCCACTTTGTCTGCTTTATCTTTTTATCCCACATTAAACAAAGAAACAGACAGCAATAAATGAACGAGAAATTAAAAAAAAACCAGAAATTTGGCACTTAATACTTTCAAAGGAAAACTTTCATTTCTAAATAAAGGGAGAATTTTCTTTGAAAGTATTAAGTGCCAAATGTCTGGTTCTTTTTTTTTTTTTTAACTTTCTGTTTATTTATTGTGATGCCTCCCTTCACTCTATTACTTTATTGTGGTTCGTTTTTTTTTTACGTTATTTCATATTTTCGAAGGTATAAAATTAATTTTATTAGGGAAGAATAGAGACTAATATATAAATCAAGTTTCAAGGCCATACCAAGGGACCACTTTATTAAATGTCACACCATATCTTGTATTATCATACACATACGACACATACTGGAGCATAGTAATAAACACAGTAATAAAAGTTGTCTGCCACAGAGTCAAATTAGTCCCGGAAAACAGTAAATGGTACCCTGCCACATACAAGTAGTTAAAATAGTCTTGGAACACAGTAATAAAAGTAACTCTGCCACACCGTAAAGGTACTCCTGGAACATAGTGAAAGTACTCCTGGCATATAGTCAATGTACTCCTGGTACATAGTCAAAGTATTCCTGGTACAGAGTTAAAGTACTCCTGGCAAATAGTCAATCTACTCCTGGTACATCGTTGTCAAACTTGACTGTGTCAGACTCTGACTCAGGGGACGCTTTGGCTGTCTTGTCTGCGGGAGGTGACGACTAGGCCCTCCTTAGTAAGCCGAGCGCTGACTGATCCCCGCTGGTGCCATAGATACCAAAGCTACCCGCACTGAATCCAGAGAGGCTTACTCGGTCCCCTAATGCAGGGGTGCAGAGGGCCGGGAGCAATTCTTGGTCGCCGTGATCCTTGTTGGCTATTTGGTAGGAAGAGGCGATTATGTTGCTGGTGCCGACGGGAGTAGGAGCAGAGGTGGGGCGGGTAGTCTGGTGCTGCTGCGGCTGCTGCTCCTGTGTGGACTGGTTCTGCAAACACAAGAAATATGAACATTAAAATAAAGGTTCTCTATAAATGTTATACATAGAATGGTAAATTAAGCGGTTTATTTCTTTATAATAACCTACCAGCAACTGCGTGAAGGTTGGCTGCCGCATATAACCTGGCTGTTGCATCTCCTGTTGTTGGTAGTGGAACTGGGGTTGGCCCTGAAACTTCTGCGAAGGGTGCTGAAACTGGCCCTGTGCCGGGAACTGGAAGGCCGCGGGCTGGAGCGGGAACATAGCAGGTGGAACTGGTGTTGGAGCCGGATACTGCTGACCACTCGTGCGTTGCCCCTCATCCGTTGGCTGATAGCGCTGGGACAGAGCCAGGGTTTCCGTCTGGAACTGACGGAACTTCTCCAGTTGCGCACCACCGTCTGGAGCCAACTGCCCCACGCCTCTTGCTCGTCTGGTTGTCTGGTTGCAGACTCTTCCAACTGAAAGAAAACACAAAAAGGGAAATATTGAAGCATGTTTCATTACAAATTTCTAAAGACGTAAGACATATGACACATGACATTTCAAAGTAGAGTTTAGGTTATCATGAAATAGGTTCTCGTTTACCTTTCTCTCCGTTTCCCGGTCCCTTCTCCGGTTATCCAGCAGCATCTCTGTCAGGATCTCCCCGACATCGGGCGTACTCTTTGTGCCCTTCTTCTTCCTGCTAATGCTGGTGCTGGTGCTGGTGCTGGTGCCAGTCCTGTTTCTCTTGGAAGCGCTGTCTTGGCTTTTAGCACTGCTGTCCCTCATCCGACCTTCAGTCCCTCTGTCCTCGTCCTCATTTTCGGGTGCCACAAAGTCCTCCCGCACCTTCACATCGTCATCGTCCTCGTCATCGTCAGGAACCTATAAGCATCAGCATGAATTGTTTTTTTATGTGACAAATGAAAGAAGGCAAAGGTGAATATTATGTAAATGCAACACTCTAGATGTTCTGTCAAGGACTGACAAGAAGAAGATGCACATTAAAATAGCGGTTCTCCATAAATGTGATGTCAGAGACTGACAATATAAAGGCAAAGAAGAGGATCATTTGCACACAAACAAATTTAATGCCAATGCTTACTCTTCCCAATTCCTGTCCCTGGGTCCGCGGCTGAATGACCTCATCCAGAAAAGCCAAGTTCCGCAGATTCCACTCCTGTCGGACGGTCAACCTACAGGACGCTTGGCCCGACTTCTCCGCAGATCCGGTCCGGTTCTTAAGCTTGCCATAGGCACTACGAAGGTTCTTGAACCTTCTCTTGATCTTATCCACTGCAAACAATAAACAAAAAAATCCCATTAGAAGGTGTCAGAGGAAAGTGAATATTATGAATGTACACAATTCAAGAATTGTTCATATGACATTGAAATGCAATACAAATCAGTAATCAAGAATTACAGAAATGAGGACATGGTCAAAGTACTGATAGTGCCAACTATGTACCAGGATTACTTTCACTACTCACCAGTCCACTTTATCTCCTTAGCCAGCTCCGCCAGTTCCGCCTCCTTCAGCTTGGTGTTGCGGTACTTCTCATGTCTCAGATTGTAGAAGTATGGATGGGCCTCAAGGAACTCCACAATACGCTGGAGAGCTGGAGACTCATCCTCATCCTCTGCATCAGGATCATGGTCCTGCTCAGATTGTATCTCTGCCCCTTCTTCTTCCTCCCTGGATGGCTGCTCCTCCGGCTCATCAGAGACTCGATTGGTCTTTTTCTTAGCATGCCCATCTTTCCCCTTCTCCTTTGCTAATCTCTTCTTAGGAGGCATGGTTTGAAACTGTGAAATTTGGTGATGAAATGTTTTCTTTTGAAATGTCCTGATGTGTGTGGCAAACCCCTCCTTATATACTCCAGGTGCGTAGTGGTAGCGGTCTGTGAGCAGTCAATATTTATCGTGAAAGTCATGATATTCGTAGCAAGCTCTTGAATACCGAATCCACTGCGACATGTTAACACCCTGGGTTGGGGAAAGTTTCCATGAAAAAGGAAATTCTCCATAGGACAAAAGAACTCGTCCGGCTTAACGTACAGTAAGACGTCCCTGTTGATTATATTGTAAGTATAACACGAGGATAGCGGACAAACCTCAAGCTCAGAAGGGTATACATGATCGACATTGTCAATAAATGTCTTGTTATTCAATACTAGAACATCTCAATATATGAGTGTTAAATTGAAGGACTTGGTCAGGATTTTGTGTCCATACTTGATAAAGCACATCAATAAAATCAGCCTCGTGTGAAAAACAAAAATAAGTCGGACGGAAGAAGGGCACAGTTTGTTCCCACAGGAACGTTCTTACGATTTACATCTCAGGTTTTTTAATTTTGGTCTTGTGCTTTTTACAAAGTATTCATCTAAATCATATAAAACCATATATATTTATATTGTCTTTTTATTTTTTTGGAAAAGGGGGCTCTTATAAAAAGGGAATGAAGGAGATCCTTCAGTTCAGTACAGTCTTAGCTTTGCATTATGGGTGCCATTTAAATCGCAATACACTAAACATTGCAGCCAAACAATACTTCGAACAAGTAATCCATAATAATACTTCTAACTAGCTATCCACTACAAAATTTCCAATAAGTGATCAATTAAAGTACTTCCAACCAGTAATCAATTAAAATACTTTCAACTAGTTCTCCATTATAAAACTTCCAATAAATAATCTATTAAAATACTTTCACTTAGAAATCCAATCCAATACTTTCAACTAGTAACCCATTAAAATACTTCAAACTACAAATCCTTTACAATACTTCCAACTAGTTATTCATTAAGAATACTTCCAACTAGTAATCCATAACAACACTTCCAACAAGCAATCCATTACAATATTTCCACTTAGAAATCCAAAACAATACTTTCAATAATTAATCCATAAACATACTCGCAACTTGAAATCTATAGTAATCCATTGCAATGAGAGGGAGAGAGATTTAAAAATAAAAATCCTGAATTTCGGTCCGGATCTGTCATGATACTCGGAACAGATTTCACCGGTTTCGTTTTATTACTTATACATTTCATCTTAATCATATATGCGTTTGCACTAAAGACGTGTTATAACCATATGGTTTTAAGCGGGTGTTTTACGTCGATTTTTAATGTTGGTGCTGACCGGTGCAATATCTGTAATATTTTCGACCCGTTTTCGCACTAGGTTCCTGATAACTGTTGTATTAAACAGAATGGCATCGAACAATGTTGGATCACCGGTTGAAATTGACGGTTCTATGCTGGAAGGAGTAAGTATAAGTCCTATGGTAAATGGAGTAAACACAGTTAAAACCAGCAGGTAAATAAGTTTAATATTACATAGTTCGGTAGGATATTTACAGGCCATACGTAGATGGCTGTGGATAACGTGAATGATATCTTGTCAAACAAATTACATGTATCTGAAATTGTATTCGTAAGTTCATTGATATAGCAACAGGGAAAATAATAACCTCTCTATAATCTATATATAAACTGATTAATACACGAATTACCTGATTGTATTTGATTATGTTGAAAGAATGACGGTTTTTATGCTTTTAATTTAAAACAGCTTTATGTGTCTTTCTTTCACTTTCTTCTCTATTTCAGCAATATTTTTACTGTCAACAGAGTAATTGAAGAACTATTATGTATAATGAGGGGTTGCACCCAAATTAACCTGTTCAACTCAATGTCTTGGCTGTCTATAACATGTATTTAAGTAGAAACAACACAAAACAAAACATAGGTCACGGATCGTAGGCCTCTTGTCCCTGAGATTTGAAAGTGTACTTTGTGTAACATCAGAAGAAACTCTTTCCCTGCAGGTAGAGTAGTGACTGATAATGAGCATCCACTACCACTAAGTGCAATATTTTTTAGTATAAACTATATTTGTGTTACTTTCTTTCAAGATTGTATTGGTTAGGGACCTTTGAATAACTAGTTCTGTTATCTTGCTCAGTCAACCCTGCATAGACAATGCAAGAATACAACAGAGAAAGAGAGCTACAGTGCAGAAATATGATGTATCTGTAAGGTTCCGGATAAAATTCATAAATTGAATATCACCTCCGGGGAGGAGGAGTGGAGTAAAAGCAACTACGGAATTGGTCGACCGTAGTTGCGCTGATGGAGGATTCTTTTAGAGCGTTCCAATCGGTTAGTGTACGTGGGAAGAAGGATTGTCTGTAGTTTTCAGTGTTGCACGATATCTGTTGTAGATTCTGACTGTTGTTTCGTCGTGTGTTGGTACGGCTGGCTGTGATGTAGTCGTCAGCGGGTATGGCTACTAGCCCATTGATGATCTTAAACAACAGTACTAGTCTGTGGTCACGACATCTGTCTTTCAGTGGTTCAAGTTCTAGTCTGTTTAGCATGGATGTTACACTGCTTTCTCTTTGGTAATCTGACAGAATGAATCTTGCTGCACACCTTTGTACTTTCTCTATGGTATATATATGTCCTTGTCTATGTAAGGGTCCCAGATGGTGGAACTATACTCCAATACAGATCGAATTAGGGACTTGAACGCACACAATTTCAGATCCGTCGGACATTTCTTCAGATTTCTCCGAAGGAATCCCAGTGTGGAGTTGGAAAGTTTGGTGATTTGTGATGACCATTTCATGGTGTTGCTGAAGATGATGTCGAGGTATGGTTGTCAGTTACCTCTTCTAGTATGGTATCACCGAGAGTGTAGCGAGAGGCTGATGGAGACTTTGAGCGATGGATCCTCATGATGTAACATTTGCTGGTGTTAAAGGACATGTCCCACGCTGATACCCATCATTCCAATGATTTTAAATCTTCTTGATGGAGACAACTGCTAGAATAAAACAAAGACAAAGCAAGAACATGGCAGTGACAGGGCATAGCTAATATTGCTTCCTTACCATCGTTTTCTCATGTTCTTACTCCCTCAGTTGTAGTCTTGCATTCTGGCATAAAGAAGGATAAGCGCTATGATAAATATGACATCTATCACAGGCTCTGGGGTCATTTCAGAGGTTTCAGAGGTGTCTCATGAAAATGATGAGAAAATAGCTACTATAGGCCCATTATATTTTTCACCTAGTTGTCAAATAAGTTATAAGGTAACTTAGTCTGGATGTCTTATTTTTGTACATATATTAAAAAAACAAAGACTGTAATGCTTTTGACATCTGTTGCATCCATCTTTTATATGCATGTGCATCTAGGGAGCGAATTTAGTTTGCCCTAAAACTGTCAACAAAAGTTGTATTATTTAAACTGATGTAAATTGGGTTTATTTTTTTTTATTACACATGTTTAGGCAGTATGTAATGTATAAACAAGAGGCCCAATGGGCCTGCATCGCTCACCTGGTATTAATCTCACACTTGTAATCTTAATAGTGGACTAAAATACAGCTACAGGCAGAATATCAGTGTTTGATTCACAAGAACCTATTAAAAGATTTAACCATGAAGCCTGTGTCCTTGAATGTCGAACAAGGACATCAGGTTGAAAGTGGGTCAAGGTCATTCATTTGAACAAACTTGGTAGTCCTTCATCCCAGCATGCTACAGGCCAAATATCAGTACCCGTGGCTTTTTGGTTATTGAGAAGAAATCGTTTGAAGATTTTAAGACATCTGACCCCAGTGACCTTGATAGTGGGTCAAGGTCATTCCTCCCAGCATGCTGCAGGTCCACTATCAGTACCCTGGGCCTTTTGGTTATTAAGAAGAAGTGGTTTGAAGATTTTAAAACATTTGACCCCTGTGACCTTCAAAGTTGGTCAATGCCATTCATTTGAACAAACTTGGTAGCCCTTCAGCACAGAATGCTACTGGCCAAATAGCATCATCCTAGGGTTTTCGGTTATTGAGAAGAAGTTGTTTAAAGGTTTTAAACATATTTGACCCCTGTGACCTTGAATATATATATAAGTCATTAATTTGAACAAACTTTGTAGCCCTTTATCCTAGCATGTTACTGGCCAACTATCATTATCCTAGGTCTCTTAGTTATTCAGAAGATGTTGTTTAAAGACTTTTTAAGACAATTGACCCCTGTGACCTTGAAAATAGATGAAGGTCATTCATTTCAATAAACTTGAAAGCCCTTCATCACAGCATGCTACAGGCCTAATATCAGTACCCTGGGCCTTTTGGTTATTGAGAAGAAGTGGTTTGAAGATTTTAAGACATTTGACCCCTGGGACCTTCAAAGTTGGTCAAGGTCATTCATTTGAACAAACTTAGTAGCCCTTCATCACAGCATGCTACTGGCCAAATAGCATCATCCTAGGGTTTTCTGTTATTGAGAAGAAGCTGTTTAAAGGTTTTTAACATATTTGACCCCTGTGACCTTGAATATATATATAAGTCATTAATTTGAACAAACTTTGTAGCCCTTTATCCTAGCATGTTACTGGCCAACTATCATTATCCTAGGTCTCTTAGTTATTCAGAAGATGTTGTTTAAAGACTTTTTAAGACAATTGACCCCTGTGACCTTGAAAATAGATGAAGGTCATTCATTTCAATAAACTTGAAAGCCCTTCATCACAGCATGCTACAGGCCTAATATCAGTACCCTGGGCCTTTTGGTTATTGAGAAGAAGTGGTTTGAAGATTTTAAGACATTTGACCCCTGGGACCTTCAAAGTTGGTCAAGGTCATTCATTTGAACAAACTTAGTAGCCCTTCATCACAGCATGCTACTGGCCAAATAGCATCATCCTAGGGTTTTCTGTTATTGAGAAGAAGCTGTTTAAATGTTTTTAAAATATTTGACCCCTGTGACCTTGAATATATATAAAAGTCATTCATTTGAACAAACTTTGTAGCCCTTTATCCTAGCATGATACTGTCCAAATATCATTATCCTAGGCCTCTCAGTTATTGAGGAGAAATTGTTTAAAGATTTTTTAAGACAATTGATCCCTGTGACCTTGAAAATAGATGAAGGTCATTCATTTGAACAAACTTGGTAGCCCTTCATCCGAGCATGCAACTGGCCAAATATCATCATCCTGCGACTCTTGGTTATTCAGAAGAAGTTGTTTAAAGTTTTTAACATATTTGACCCCTGTGACCTTGAAAATAGGTAAAGGTCATTTATTTTAATAAACTTGGTAGCCCTTCATCCCAGTTTGCTTCTGGCCAAATATCAGTATCACAGGCCTTTTCGTTATTGAGAAGAAGTTGTTTAAAGTAAAATATTGACGCCGGACGCCGCACCATGGCATAAGCTCACTTGGCCCTTCGGGCCAGGTGAGCTAATAATATGATTGTAATCATTTCAATTGATTTTAAGAAACAAATATTCAGTTAAATGTACTTTGAATTTCATTTGGATAGAACTTGGAAAGAACTATTTGTTATGTTTTAGATATGATTAATGAAAATAGGTGATGTTGTTAAATGTGAAAGTAAATAACTGCTTTATTTCATATACAGGGAGGTCAAATTTTGAGAAATGCTGCGGCTTTGAGTTGTGTGCGTTGCTGTCCCATTAGAGTGTATAACATCAGAGCAGGACGGAACAAGCCAGGACTTAGGTGAATGTCTTATGCATTATTCTAGCTTGATCATTGTGTTTTATTTGCATGCTTCATGTTTCATGATTACCATACTTTTTATACGCCCGTCAAATTTGACGGGAGTATTATGGTATGGCATCGCCCGTCCGTCCGGCGTAAACTTTTGTTTGTCCGGCAATCTCCTCCTACATTTTTCGACCGATCTCTTTGAAACTTGGTATACATTTTAATCATGATATGAAGCTGTGTCTCCCTTAAAAAGAATTTTGATTTAACAATTTTTCCAAAAGTTATTGCCCTTTTTTCATTTCAGTATTTGATTTCTTGTCCGGAGATCTCCACCTACATTTTTTGACGAATTTCTTTGAAACTAAGTAGGCTAAATAATCATGATATGTTGTTGTGTTTCCTTGAAAAGAATTATGATTTAACAATTTTTCCAAAAGTTTTTGCCCTTTGTTTATTTCAGTATTTGATTTTTGTCCGGCAATCTCCTCCTACATTGTTCAACGGATCTCTTTGAAACTTGGTATACATTATAATCATGATATGAAGTTGTGTCTCCCTTAAAAAAAGAATATATTCAACGATTTTTGCAAAAGGTATTGTCCTATTTGTTAAATAATTTTGCATTGAAAACATTAATTAATATGAAAAACATTCCTAATGTGCTGGACAAGTTTCCCTTGTTTCTAGAGAAACTTGCAATTGTTTACTCTCATTTTGATGCCTCCAAAATATTTTATCATAAGGCTTTACACTTTTTTTTGAAATTTGCATAATAACAGGCCTCAACACTTGACTGGCCTCACACTGATAAACAAAGTATGTGGAGGTCACTTAATTGGAGGAGATGTCTCCTCACAGGAAATAGTGTTCCATCCTGGCAGAGTGAAGTCGGGCGATTACATGGCCGATCCTGGTACTGCTGGGTAAGGTGATCTCTATCACGGAATTAGATTAGATATTTAAGTCTGTGTCTCTATGTAATTTGATGTCATTGGATATTAATCAAAACACAAATATTGTTTTAGTCTTGGTAGTTTGCCTGTCTGATGCAAAGAATCAATCCTCTATTTTTGTGAAATGTCTTGTTAATGCAATCAGATTTATAAAATAAACTGAAATGCTAACAAAGTTTTGTTTAATAAGAGTCTGCTACTACATAAACTTGAATTAATACTTTTACGTTCAATTTGTTTGTCAGATTATCATTTCAGGGCAAAACAAAAATTATTATTAGAAAAAAATACTTAATGCAAAAACATATAACTCAGTATTTAGAAAGATAAATTCCCACTAAGAAAGAAGTAAGAATAATTGGCTGTGTTTTGTAGGAGCATCTGCCTGTTGATGCAGGCTGCTCTACCCTGTCTGCTGTATGGTCCTGGTGAGTCTCACCTAACTCTGAGGGGTGGTACCAATGCTGACATGGCACCACAGGTGGATTACTACAACTATGTAAGTCACATAATACTACAACTATGTAAGTCACATAATACTACAACTATGTAAGTCACATAAAACTACAACTATGTAAGTCACATAAAACTAAAACTATGTAATTCAAATAATACTACAACTATGTAATTCAAATAATACTACAACTATGTATTTCAAATTATACTACAACTATGTATGTCACATAAAACTTAAACTATGTAAGTCACATAAAACTAAAACTATATAATTCAAATAATACAACAACTATGTAAGTCACATAATACTAAAACTATGTAATTCAAATTATACTACAACTATGTAAGTCACATAATACTAAAACTATGTAATTCAAAATATACTAAAACTGTGTAATTCAAATTATACTACAACTATGTAAGTCACATAATAATAAAACTATGTAAGTCACATAATACTAAAACTATGTAAATCAAATTATACTACAATTATGTAAGTCACATAATACTAAAACTATGTAAGTCACATAATACTAAAACTATGTAAGTCACAATATTCTACAATTTTAGAAGTCACAAGATTCATGTACAACAACTTAGTAATTCACACAAAACTAAAACTATGTAATTCAAATTATACTACAACTATGTAAGTCACATAATTCATTGGGAAGAGAATTTTCACTGAGATCAGAGTAAGTTAGAGACAATAATGCATTCATTTCATTGTTTTCAGATATTTCAACCTATTGTTGCTCAATTTGGGATGAAGATAGATATCAACATCAAGAGAAGGTAATATTTAATCCCATATTCTGTTAGTGACTTTTAGTGAGGTCATCATTAGTCATGTAAGAGTTGTGCCTCTTCCTTTGAATCTTTGAAGGGAAAGTGTTCATTCACTGGGTGTGTAAAACCATATTTCAGCATAGTAATATTATTTTTTTACAAATGTGTTAATAGTGCTTTTGATTGTCCATATTTAGTCAAGCAAATGTGTTTTTTAGTCCCTGGTCGTAATCTACGATCAATTCGTTTTAACCAGTTTTACTGCCAGATAAGTAGAATAAACATTAGAAAGTATAGTATTTTAAACAGGATTCAAAGTCATTTTAACTATCTTGTTTTTGCACCAGACTGTGATATGTTTTGTTCCTCTCTCGCCGAGTTCAAAGTACGGTTAAAGAATATTTGCTATCACTAATTCCTTTTGTTTTTCATATGAGTATCTTTTAGTCTGTGTTACATGCATAACTGACTGTGATAGTTTATACTTGTGTTGTATTGTTGTTATCCATTCTGTTAGTGGACCCTTGGGTCTGTTGAATTGGAAATAAATAAATAAATAAATAAAAAAAAAAAAAAAGCCGATCACAAAGAAAATACTCAACCATCTTTAAATATATCCAAACCTTAATACTCCATGATTATTTATTGCCTTATTTATCAAGATTATAATAACATGGGTTCAGGGTTTTCTTCGTTTTAGAACGAAAAGTTTAAAGTTCCTCACGTTTGATATGTTTCCATTGTTGGGCAATTTTATATCTTACTAAATGTTATCTTTATATATGTCGAATACCATGTATTTCTCAAACTATTCATCTGCACCCTATAAGTTAGCAGGGTTTTACTGTAATAACAATATGCCAACTCATAGTTATTTGTTCAAGATTGTTTGACTTGCTGGATTGTTTAACTTAGATATCCATATTATTGATATCGTTTTATGAAACATGTATCTGTGTTCAGTTAAATGTAAATGTAAAACACTCGTTTACTGAATATATTATTATCCACAAATTTGTTATTCATGATAGATTTAAATATGATAATCTATGGTAATTTTTCTTAACCAATAATATTTTCCTATTTAATTTTAGTTCATCAGTATTTTTTTCTAAGTAAAATGTCATTCTAATATATCATCATACCTGTACTTTTGTTTATAAAAGATTTGTTTTCTCTGACCTTCAGGGGTTACTTTCCTAAAGGTGGAGGGGAAGTGGAGATCACATCATATCCAGTGAAATATCTAAAGCCAGTGACAATGATGGATGTCGGAAAGGTGGTGAAGATCTATGGCCGGGCGTTTGTGGCCGGTGATCTCCCTATAAAGGTATCTGAATTTTTGTTTGATGTCCTCCTAATATGTCTTAACCAAAGTTTTTTCTGGGTTTTTAGAGGAGTTACGGCACTTTGCCTTACCTTCCCAGTAGAAAATGACATGGTTATTATCATCTATAGCAGGTAGGGGAGTGAGGAGGCCAGACAGGATTAGATTTGCTTAATTTCTGTATTTTATTACAGAGCAAATCTTGGAGCCAAAACGTACATGTATATGTCCAGTTGATCTTTTGAAGTAAATTTTATTTGGTCACCTCAGATTGTTTGTCCATAAACAGTTTACTTATAAAACCTAGCCAATCAATTTCAGTAAGATTTAACAGAAAGCTCACAGGGCTAAAAACCAACCCAAAATTGTGAATGCTAAAATCAGAGAGGGGGTTAAATTTATTTCCATTTTGGGTAAACTTTGTATTTTGTAAGAAATAATGCAAGCTTATTCCTTCCATTGATTTTTCCTTGAATGGCAATATGATTATATGAAAATTCAGACAAAAGAGATGAAATTAACCTAATGAAAATAACAACTATTTCTCAAATATCCCAATGCGTAGGGGTTGTATGTAGTCCTATAATAATCCTCATTTTATAGCTGATACACTGGAGATAGGAGAAGACTTGTAGATGTGTATAGGTGTTGTCTGATTTCAAACAGTAAAGACTTGTAGATGTGTATAGGTGTTTTCTGATTTCAAACAGTAACCACCTATGCTGGTTAATCCCAAACATCATTTTGTCAGCAAATCCACAACTGCCGTATTTGATCCAGATATACTGGTTTGTATGCCTAAATATTCTACGTCATGCCTCGAAAACAAAACACAGGTACATTTACAACTCAAGTGATATGTACTTTCCCTCAAGGTTGCGACAATAATGGAGAAATGTGCAAAGACTGTTATACGTGAAGACTATACCGACATACCAGTAAACATTGAAGTGGTGAAGGAACCCCGCCATATGGCTATTGGTACTGGTACTGGCATCATGTAAGTCTCCGGCTTTCTTGTTTCTAAACAGTAAGTACTTACAGTACAGTATGGATCTTGTTACATTAATATCATGTGTTATCAAAATTTGTAAAGGATTTGATATTTTTTGAGATTGAATATGATTATTTAAATGATTTTTTTCACATGATGTTTTTTTTTTTTTTACTTTGGACAATGTCTGCTTTTTTCCCCAAATCATATATAGAAGCATTTTTACAGAAATAAATTGAGTTGGAAGTGAGAAGTTCTGGTAGCATTTCATGGCAACATATATATCAAAAACTTTCTACAGATTGCTTAAAATGGATGAATTTTACATTATATGTAGTATCATAAACTGTATTCATCTTTTGAATCTGACAGAATAGTCGCGGAAACCTCAACAGGATGTTTACTGGCAGGCTCAGCGTTAGGAAAGAAAGGTAGGACTCCACAAATCTATTACGTACCTGCAGGTAATCGTAACATACTGTAAGAGTACTTATTTTAGTGGACATAATTTAAAGCATAATATCAAGTTTCAATTGGCATGCTTACAATATATCCAATAGCTAATTACATGTTTATACAAAATCTACAATTAGCACAATCATAGTTTAGCTCGATGCTTAAAGTGCAAAAAGCACTAAAATGAGATACCGCTTAAATTTGTATGTTTACAGTAGTGCTACAGACAGTTTCCAGGCCGTGAAATACAGCTATTTCAATTTAACATTGGTAATACAAGATTTAGAACTAACCTAGTGGACAGAACTCCTTTAGAGCTAGAACACATTGGTTAGTATGCACTCTACTAATCCATTGTTTCAATTGAAACAAAAATGTGTATCTAATAAGGTAGTGCCATTTTACACTGTAGTAAAACATGCTATTATTATTCTGCCTTTAATTTCATTTTACATGCCATTGTTTATTAGTTCAAGTTTTGGGAAGCGAATTGAATATGTGTGTAAGATAATGTTGAATGAGATTTGCATGAAATAGAATAAGAATGTAGGAACAGAGGTAGGTTAGGTATAAATAACACCAGACATTTACAGACAGATGGCACTCATTGTGTGATGGTAACCTGTGTCGAATGTACCTGGTGCTGCAGATAGCTGATGTTTGTTGTATTGTAACGCTCGCTCCTGGTATAGGAGGCATCGTGTTTGTCTTGGGATGGAATTGTGGTGCGATAGAGAACAGACACAAGAAATAACGTTCACATATTAATTAACTCCAGCATATAAAGTTCATAGTAATCCAATCACGGTTCACAACACGTTCATTTATCTCCCGTACTCCATATGTTTCCCTTACAGTCCATTCACACAACATCCACTTTCTGTCTCCATTCTACAATATCACTAAAACACTAAAACTAGCTAAACTACATGTATCCTACTCCTAATAAAATGTAACTCTGCCAATAGTACTGCGCACTTTTCATTATATATGACCCCAGTATTTAAAGGTGCTAAAATTAGCTCACACAACCATTTGTCAACGTGGTGATGAGGTGATGCTGTGCACGTGGACATTATTGATTTCTTCTAAACCTTGACCAGTACTACTATATATCATTATTGTCTGTATTCTACGAGTCATTACAGTATTATCATTGACTGTGACATCTCCAGGATACCTTTGTATTATCATTGACTGTGACATCTCCAGGATATCTTTGTATTATCACTTATTGTGACATCTACAGGATACCTTTGTATTATCATTTGCTGTGACATCTCCAGTAAACCTTTGTATCACACTTATTGTGACATCTCCTGGGCACCTTTGTATTATCACTCATTGTGACATCTCCAGTAAACCTTTGTTTTATCACTTATTGTGACATCTCCTGGGCACCTTTGTATTATCATTTGCTGTGACATATCCAGTATACCTTTGTATTATCGCTTATTGTGCCATCTCCAGGAAGCCTTTGTACTATCACTCATTGTGACATCTCCAGTAAACCTTTGTAGTTTCACTCATCGTAACATCCCCAGTAAATCTTTGTAGTATCACTCATTGTGACATCTCC